TTTTTTGCCATCTGTGTCTCAATGCGGAGATTTCACTTCACTTCGTGTCCCATAACTTAGCAGGAAGTGAGAGGAAATGTCTGCAAATTAAGGGAATTCCTAGGGGAATCCCAGGTCACCACTAGTGTCCCCATTGGACAATTTTCCTTCTATTACTTTTCTGAGGACAACCCAAAATTTACGATTTTCTGTTGCTTTCACTTTTGATAACGGTAAACAGAGCAAAGTTAGATCTCTCTAATGGGGGCACAGACAGGAGTCAAAACCGACAGTTCTAATCCCTCTCCACTCCATCCAAAACTAAAGAAAAAGTTTTGCCTTTAGTTATACTTTAACACATTGAGGACAATAAACTAAACATTCCTTAGTACACAGTTTGATCAAATTCTTACTCCAGCACTTGCAGTTTATAACTTTCAATACTACTGGCTCCTGCTCTTTTAGTGCTTCTTCCCTGAACATCTGCCCTACACAGTAATGAATTAACAGTGGACAGTGCGGTCTTGAGTGAGTCTGCTAGCTTGGAGGAGGAAGGTCAAGCAGGTGAGTGCCTTGGCATCATAGGCTATGGTGCTGCGAGTTTCTATTGATGCACACAGTCTATGGAGACACAACTCTAGTCCCTGAATGCAAGGGTGGCTTCAAAGGACACTGCAAGAGAAAGGAGCCACCCTAAAACAGGAAACCTGGGACAGCGGTCATGGCACCACCCTAAACTGGAACAAGGCAAGGATTAACAGATGAAGAAGATGCATACTCAGTAAGTGATTATTAAATCAACTGCTGAAAAGGGCTTTAAAAAATGAAGTTTTACTATCATTTTGAAGCCTACAGGAGCATTATCTTTGTATGAGTGCATAGAAATTCCAAAACTGATCAGTAAGTAGAGCTTCACATAGAATGTGCAGATTCCGCTCTTGGAACTGTGGAAGAATAGGAAAAATAGAACCATTCAGTGTTTCTATAGAAATGGAGTTATGAGTCAGAGATGTGCTATCTAACAATCGAGCGATCTATCTATCTATCTATCTATCTATCTATCTATCTATCTATCTATCTATCTATCTTTCTGTGCATAATAACATTAGAGTATCTACTTCTATATTTGCTCATGCACAAAAAGCAAAATATGATTAATTTTAGGCTTCAAAGAGAAACCTCTGCATTCCTTCTGCTTCTGTTACCATGGATATGCTGCTACTACTGCTGCTGCTTCTTCTTCTGGCTGTAAAAGGTAATACTGTTTATACTATTTGTGCCCTGTGGCTAACAGCTTATTAAAAAAAAAAAAAATAATAAATAAACAATAGAAAAAATAAATTTCTGTGTGGAACTTCTTCTTATGTACAGTACTTTGATGATCTTTAAATAATAAATTGCAAGCAACCATACTTTTACTTTTCAACCAGGAAATTATTTTTTCAATGATACAAAATAAAAAGGGCCTACTGACACTATTACATTGCAGAAAACACACTTTAATGCATGGAAATACAGCATGTGCAATGCAAACACTATTAATTTGAACTGCACTCCAATACACATGTAAGTAAACACACATCTGTGCAATAGTGCAGCAAAACACAGATCTGAATACTTTGTTCGTTGTGGTGCACTCCATTGTCAAAAATAGTGCAGGTGCTTTTCTCCATGGATTGATGTGCAGGTGCCTTAAAACAATTGGGGGGGGGGGATTTACTAAAACTAGAGCAGACAGAACCTGGAGCAGTGGTCCATAGTAACCAATCAGCTTCTAGTCTCAGCTTGCTCAGTTAACCGCTTAAGGGACCGCCCTATAGCAGATATACTGCTACAGGGCAACACCTGTGCGCAAAATCATGTACATGTACGTGATTTTGCATTCCCTACCTGTGCCGCCATTTGCTGCCGCGGATGTCAATCACTGGGTTCCGGCCAGTAAGTAATTACCACACAGTTAACCCTTTGATAGCCCCCTTCCTGCCCAGTGCTATTAGTACAGTGTCAGTGCTTTTTTTTTTAGAACTGATCACTGTATTGGTGTCACTGGGGATGTCAGTGACACCAAGTTAGTCCCCCCCCCCACAGTGCCAGAATGTCCGCCTTAGTCCCGCTAAGTCACTGATTGCTGCCATTCCTAGTAGAAAAAAAAAATCCCATAATATATATATCACCATTTGTAAACGCTATAACTTTCACGTAAACCAATTCATTTACACCGACCAACACCCCCCTCCCCCACGAAGAGTGCCTGACATTGACCAACAACACCCCAGCCTTCCCCCCCCAAGAGAGCCTTCCACCACCACCACCCCCATACTTTGGCAGCCCCCCACCATCACCCTGGCGAGAGAGAAGACACTCACCTACACAGCTCCGGACATCCCCGGGAACAAGAGTCAGGCTCTGCATACACCATCAAGCAGCCTGCACCCATACTGTGTGTGTCTCTTCTTCCATCCCTCTTTTAGAAGGGCGGCACTGCCCCCCCCAAAAAAAAAATGCCGCCCTAGGCAGATGCCTTGTTTGCCTTGTGGTAAATACGCCCCTGTACTGATCTATAAGACACTTAATGTCACAATGGAATCATATGAAGCTAATAAAATTACAATAGTTAAGAAATTTACAGTAGATAACAATAAATGATATATAAGAATAAAGGAAGTCTGATCAGCTACACTCTAAACAATCCACTTTATTAAACCAGGATAAAACCAATACATATTAGGCAGCAAGAAAAAATGTTGTCCATGAAGTTGATATGTTGAAAGAAGAAAAACGGACATCACAGTTTGTTGTGTATGGGTCTGCAAAGCCTCAGACTGGTCAGGGTGCCCATGCTGAAAGGTGTCCACAGATAAAAGCACCTACAATGAGCACATGAGCATCAGAACCGGCCCACAAAGCAATTGAGGAAGGTGGCCTGGTCTGATCTAATGTTTGTTTTCTTTTACATCATGTGGGTAGTCCATGTGCATTGCTTACCTGTGGAAGAGATGGCACCAGGATACAGCATAGGAAGAAGGCAAGCTGGTGGAGGCAGTGTGATGCTTTGGGCAATGTTCTGCTGGGAAACCTTGGGTCCTGCCATTCATGTAGATGTTACTTTGATATATACGACTTACCTGAACATTGTTGCTGACCAAGTACACCCCTTCATGGAAACGGTATTCCCTGATGGCAGTGGCCTCTTTCAGCAGGATAATGCACCCTGACACACTGCAAAAATGCTTCAAGAATGGTTTGCGAAACACAACAATGAGTTCAAGGTTTTGACTTGACCTCCAAATTCTCCAGATCTCAGTCCATTGATCACCTGTTGGATATGCTGGAAAAACAAGTCCAATACATGGAGGCCCCACCTTACAACAGGATGTAAGGGATCTGCTACTGGTGCCATATGCCACAACATACCTTCAGAGGTCAAGTGGAATCCATGCCCAGACAGGTCAGGGCTGTTTTGGGAGACAAACCCAGTATCAGGTGGGTCATCATAATGTTATGGTTGGTGTATGTGGATATACAATTTTATGACATGCACTGTGTATGATGTTATTAATCAATGAAAGCTAGCTGAGTTCTAAAAAAAAAGTGTATTTTAAAAAGAGTAGCACGGAATTCCTTAGCACGGTTTTAATGGCTCTCTCAGAACATTTGACGTACAACATCCATGATCTTTGCAGATAACAAGAGGCAATTTGATATATACAATGTACAGATTAGAGCACAGTAAACATAATTTATGGGTGATCATAAACAGTAAAAAATTAAAGGCTGAGTTATGACTCACCAGACAAATAGCATGGGGCCCACCTTAGTGTGCTCCCACAGGAAGTATTATATTAGCATATAGTTTAAAAATAGACCAACATCTGCTCACAGTTATATATCCTCTTAAAATAGACCTGTCAACATGCTTAAATGAAAGCTATCACGACTCATGAGAACATGAAAAAGGTGAGTGCAAAACAAGATGACAGTTATAACCAGAATAATCCAGGCTTGAATGATTTGACTGAATGATGTTGCAATCATGCAAAGCAGCAGTTGACATTGGCCATTCCCATATACCTCTTTTCCTGCAATTCTTAATCTACTCATTTGAGTTGTAAGTGAGGCTCATACTTACCTCTTGTGGATAATTCATTCAACCTGATCACAGATGAGGAGCACGGGGAGCCTGCACAACAGAGTAAGAATAATTGCCTAACCAGTTGATGTATCCCAGTTCCTACTTTACATCGAGTGGGTAAAATGTCTTCAAGTTGTTATTGCCATACCGCTCATATTCTATGGCACCAATTCAGGAATACCAACATTGGATGCTGCTGAGTATGCAAACAACATTAGAAGTCAGTTGTTTTGTTTAGATCTAGCTCATCCTATAATGGAACACAATTCAGCAGCACAATGCCCTATGCGTTAAAGTTGACCTAACATGATAGTAAACTCTTTAAGCACTTTAATTACTGACTATTTATTATCTTTATCTTCTAATCTTTGTGTATGTTCCTGTTTAAGCTGGTGCTATGACTGCTGAGCCAGGTTTCTTGTTTCCAGGTGGATCATTTCTCTTGAACCATCCTATAGAGCCACCCTTGCATGCAATGACTAAAGTTTACTGGGGAGTGTTAATTTTATTGTGCTCAATGCATTAAGGTTTAATACTACTTTAACCACTAGCCTACAGGGTACTTATACCCCCTTCCTGCCCGAGGCCAATTTCCAGCTTTCAGCACTGTCAACACTTTGAATGACAATTGTGCGGTCATGCAACACTGGACCCATATGAAATTTTTATAATTTTTTGTGACAGATAGAGCTTTATTTTGGTGGTATTTAATCACCTCTGGGTTTTTTTATTTTTTCTTAAACAAACCAAAAACCATTGAAAATTTTGAAAAACAAAAAGTTTATTCTTAGTTTTTGTTATAACATTTTGTAAATAAGTGATTTTTCTCCTTCACTGATGTGAGCTAATGAGGCTGCAGTGATGGGCACTGATCGGCTGTGCTGATGGACACTGATAGGTGGCACTGATGGGCACTGATGAGGAGGCACTGGTAGGTGGCACTGATGGGCATTGACAGGCATCACTGATAGGCACTGAAAGGCAGCACTGATACATGGCACTGATACATGGCACTGATAGGCGGCATTGATAGGCGGCACTGACTGGCACTGTTAGACAGTACTAACTGGCACTGATAGGCGGCACTGACTGGCACCGATAGGCGGCACTGACAGGCACTGATAGGCGGTACTGATTGGCAGCACTGATAGGTGGCATTGATTGGCAGCACTGATAGGTGGCACGGATTGGCACTGATGGGTGACACTGAAAGGCAGCTCAGATGGGCACTGATATGTGGCATTGATGTGCATTGGTAGGCACTGATATGTGGCATTGATGTGGCACTGATGGGCACTGGCACTTGGCACTGATGAGCACTGACACAAGGCATTGATGTACACTGACAGGTGGCACTGCTGGGGCTACACTGATCATCAGGGCACACTGATCATCAGTGCCCTGATGATCAGTGTAAATGTACCCTCTGAGGGATGCCGATTAACGGTTCTCCTCCTCCTCTCGAGCTGTCAGCATGACAGCTCGTGAGGAGAAAAATGCAGATAACTGGCATTTCCCTGTTTACATGTGATCAGCTGTGATTGGACACAGCTGATCACATGACCGAGCCGACATCTTCGGCTCTTATCGTGGATCGGTGATCTGCTGTGTCCGAGGGACACAGCGCACTGCCGATCGCCGCACTGCGCACTCCCTGAGCTGCACATGAGTGGTGAGAATGGGAGGACATCATCTGACGTCTTCCCAGAACGAGAGAACCACCTTGCGCCCGTCATAGTACTATATGGCGGGCGGGAGGTGGTTAAAGAAAACAGATAAATATAAGTGTGTAAACAATTTCATTGGCCATAGGGATTGTAACCTACTCAGTAATTGATACAAACCTGTCAGACAGCATAGCTAGGATCTGGACTCCTCTGATTAACACAAAGACTGCAGGCTGAATTGGCCTACCAGGCCAATTCGTGTGGCCCTCGTACCTCCACTGCAGCTGCAACCCCATCTTGTCTCAGCAGTCGGCAGAAGAAAGGAGGACAGAACTCCTCTGGTCCTCCTCAAGAGCCTTTATTTTCTTCTTCTCAGCTCCATCCCTAGTTTCCTCATGGCAGCAGCACAAGGCAAGGGTAGGGGCACTGTTATGTATGGGAGGGTGGGGTGCTCTGGACATCTAGTCTTACAGATACCACAGGCCCTTTGAAAGCAGCCATAATGCTGATGCAGCATGCAAATAAATTGAGTTTGACACCTCTGACATAGTGCATCCAGGACCCTCCTCAGTCTGTATTGAATAATAGATAGCAAGATGTCAATAAGTTCAACTATATTCCCTCTCCTATTGTAAGCATGCTCACAGCCAGCAAATTGCAATGCAGTAGAGCCGTGATAGGCTCCAAGTGATTATAGGAGGCTAATACTAAAACTATTTCAGGAACTAAAGCTGGCAAAATCAATTTAAAGTATATCTAAATTAACCATGTTCTTTTTTATGTTGGATATATTAGGACATGTTTAAAATCCCTTTTTCTTGCATTCTCTGTTCCATTCTATTCCATTCAAGATATTTTTCTTTGCTTCCTGTCCTGTAGACACAACAGAACTGTCTCTCACTTTCAGGACCCATTCATACTTAAGCAATCCATTGCAGTACGTTAATGCATACGCTCTAGCACTAGTTCTGGCATGTGTTAGCATGTGTTGCATTAGAGAAGCTCATTTATTACGAATGAGCTAGCAATGAACCGCAATAGATTAAAAATGTACATGACTCTTTTTTTTTTGAGCATGCCACAACACCTGGAATATGTATTAACTGTTATGGCATGCTGTGGTGCATTGTGCAGTGGGTTCTACTTTACAGTGCATTATTCACAATGAAAGGCACCACACACAGAGCAGGGATGTTGCCATGTGTTGTGGTAACACGTATTTTAATACCTGTTGCCAAAACACATATGTATAAATGGGCTCTCGGACCACCAACACAAATATATATAGAGTGAATCTCCCGAAGGACACAAAGGCAGCAATAAAAACCAAACAGTGGGTCTAAATCCTCCAAAATTAAAATAAATAAATAAAAAAATATTGATTTTATTATTTTTAATGAATAAGTAATTGGGATAAATGTCTGCCTCATTTTAGAGATTAGGCTCACTGTTACTTCAGGCAGAGATAAGGTTAAGTGTTGAGAAGTGATCTAGCATTAGGCATACTTTGCTACACAGAATCAGTTTGGGGAGCTGCACAGTTTATGCTTGTTCATGCAGCCGAAAACTCTGTGTCAAAGCTACCAGTGTCGAGCTGTCAGTACTAAGACACATTCTGCTCTTGGGGTGCTCCAGCAGAGATCTAAAGGTATGTGCAAGCATTTCTCGATTTAATAACTTGCATTGTACCAAATCTAAAGGCATGAAAGGCATACTTTGAAATAGATCTCCAAGGAAAAGACACAATTCATAAATATGCAAAGTGAACAGCTGTGACAGCTTTTTGTTTTTGGATACACTCTTTGGAAGAAAACGTTCCACAAATTTTTGGGCTTTAGTAAGAAATAATGTCTGTTTTTACTGATATCTTGCTTCATTGTTATAAGGAGCCCTGTTTCTCCACAGTGGGGATTGCACTCCATTCATCTATGACTGACTTGTAGGCTGTCCTGTAATTATTAACAGGTATTATTCAAGGCTACTACAATATGTACAAGCTTGAAAAATAGAACGGTTCAATTAAATCTGAACTCCAGGAATTAGACAAACTAAACCCTCGCAGTAACCCCCCCCCCCCCACCACCACCACACACTGCAAATGTTAAATGCTCATTTAAGCTGGCCATACATGTTCCTTCTGAAATGGTTGAATTTCGATCAATGTGTGGCCACTGCGGCTGAACAGAAGTCGATCAGATTTTGGCCCCTTGATTAGTGCTGCAGGCATATAGGCTGCAGCACTGATCAATGTATTCTGACAGCAGAAAACTTTCCTCATTGTCAGAATACAATAGCGCAGTAGGGAGGATTCCCTCATCAAGCAGAAGAGAAAAGAGAGCACCAGGTCAGTGTAAGGTAAAAACATGAAAACTTTATTTTCAGAAGACTTACATCTAAAACTCCTTCACTCAGCATGCAGGATAGGATGGTAGGCAGAGGAGCAGGACCGCAGTTTACTCAGATGTTTGACAAAGGAAATGCTTCTGAACCATGTTGCAGCCCGCCCATCCACCATTCACAGCATCTGTCATGGTACCTGGCACACCCCCCCACCACTCGGTGGGAACTTTTGAACAAATGCCGCTAAGTCCATGAGCGGCTTCCCTACAGGTCATGCAGCCTACATCCTTCTATCCATCCGAGTGAACTGCGGTCCTGCTCCTCTGCCTATCATCCCATCCTGCATGCTGAGTGAAGGAGTTTTAGATGTAGGTTTTCTGAAAATAAACTTTTCATGTTTTTAACTTACACTGACCTGGCACCCTACTTTCTCGTCTGCTTGTCTTCGAGGCATTCCCCATATCCTTGACAAGCAGCTTCTGGTCCCATCCCATGTGCCTTGTTTTCCTCGGTCCACTTCTTTCTCATTCTGCTCATCATATGGACATATTGACTTTTTGACAACTATCATAATACCCACTGTACAGTCAATTCTATTTTTTCATTTATCCATCTATGTATACTTATCGTTTACTATCCTATTTATCATTGTGTGAGCGCTGAATACATTTGTTCATTGTATTGATGATCATCATATTTATCACTGAGTATTCCCTTATCCACCTTGAACGTGTGAACGGGATAATCAGGTCAGTGTTTTTGTGCAACCCACTGGTTGAATGGAAAAACTGTGTCTTAGTCTAGGAGTGCAGGGATAAAAAGTATTACATATCTTATTCCTTGCTCCAGCTCTGTTCTCTTCTGCCTGAAGTTCCAGGCTGTGGTCACTCCCTCAGCCTCATCACCTACAGTGTCGGAATTATTATCCCTACATTTTGGGTAAGGAGCATGGAATTTGCACTTGGAGAACTTAGGCTGTATATAGACAGATGAAAATTCGATTGGTTTAGGAGGGAGCAGCTGAATTTTGATCTGTGTGTGGCCCTCTCTGTATGATCTGTTGGCCCATCACACTGGAAACGTTCATCAATTAGCTGCTGCATTTACTGATCAGTGTATTCCAACAGCATGGAGCCCCAGTGTCAGAATACAATTTCCTGGGAGGGATTCTTCTATCCACCTCACATGTGTGGATGGGGGAATCTGTTCATTTTTCATTCAGCCCATCGGCTGAACAAACAAAAACAAAAAAAATAACTGCCTGTACCCAGCCTTAGAGAGGAGGATTCAAGAGACTATTTTCACAGCTAGTGAAACCCTGCTAGAGTGAGGAATAATGTAATGAATTATCCTTATTCATGCACCCTTAGAATAAACAAGAATTTAAAGTGGTTTTAAAGGCTTAAGGTTTTTTTCCTTCATGCATTCTATGCATGAAATGAAGGAAAAAAAGCTTTGGTGTGCACCATCTCCCCCAGCCCCCCCCCCCCCTTCCCAATACTCACCTAAGCCCTTTCTCGACCCACCGATGTGCACTGGAGTCTCAGCTATCCCAGGATTCCCTCTCCTCATTGGCCATTGGCTCCCGCTGCTGTCAATCACAGCCAGTGAACCAATGAGAAGAGAGAGTGGGTGGGGCCCAGCCACAGCTCTATGTATGAATGGACACATGGAGCAGCAGGTGCCCCCACAGCAAGCTGCTTGCTGTGGGGGCACCCAACAGGTGGGAGGAGCCAGGAGCACTGGTGGGGGACCCGACAAGAGGCAGATGCTGCTCTGTGCAAACCCACTGCACAGAGCAGGTAAGTACAGACATGTTTGTTATTTATTTTTTTAACTTAAGCATTTAGAATCACTTTAATCCTTGCAGTGTCGGGGTTACTATATGGGTACGGTTTGCCTAATTCTTGGAGTTTGGCTTTAAGGATAAAAGTAAAATAGCAAGAATATCTAAAAAACAAAATGTGAAAAAAAATAAAATAAATATAGAAAAAAAAAGTGTTCCTTTTTCAAAGTGAAAAAGACAGTATTTGGTATACTGATATAAGCAATATCTCTTTTTTCTTCTCTAAATTAACATTACTAGGGTGCAATCACATTTTTGTTTCAAAACAGAACATGTCAGAATGTCTGATTGTATAGTTAACATATTTGCATATTCTCCATGTACTGTCCTGTACATAATATATTCTAAGTGTATACCAGGCAGACATCCCTTAGGGCAACCAATTATATAAGAAAAATCTAATTTTAGATAACAGGAGGGAATGCACTGAGCTATTACACTGGACGTGGGGGCTTTAGGGCAACTGTTCTGAGTGCTTCTTTCTGCTTGGTTAATTTTGCTGCACAGTAAAGAGCTGAAATGGTAAGGAAATCCTAAAATGACTACAAAGAATTCCATTAAATAAATGTTTCTATTGTGCAAGTTTCTCCTACTTGCTTGTGTGCCATTTTGGGATGTCATCTGAACATTAATAGCCCTAGACAGAAACTAACAGGACAAGCTACCGATGAGTGGTGGAAACAATGATCTGACATTCTGAATACTTACAAGTATTTTCAAAAGAGGTAAAATTGACTCTGTGAGTTAACATGAGGGCTGCATTGGAAATACAGCAGAGAGATTGCCCACAGAGGTTTAAAGAAGAATTGCCTT